TCCTGCTGAGGACAGAGATTGCTTGGTTTCATTGTTTTCACTTGAAGTGCATAAAATTCTTGATGATGGAAGCGGCAGAGCTTTGGTCTTGAACTGAGGAGAGAGTGAGGTCTGTGGGTTGCTTGTAAATTTGTGAGAAATGGATGCCATGGCTTGAGATTTGGATGAATTGTTTGTGGCCATTGCTTTGAATTTATGAAGATTTTAACATATGGGACTTGCTATGTGCCAAAACCGGACATTCATGTGTGCATATGTGATGGTAATTCCCAATTTGGGCCATGAATCTCTGTTGATGAGCCGAGTTGTTCATCGTCCCTTGATCTGTCTTCTATTGGGTCGTATGTTCTTCTTCCTATGGACTAAGTATACTCGAGAAAGCCCAATTTTTTATTTTATTTGTTTCATCATCTGTTAATATTTTTCCTTCAATTTTTTTTCCTGGTGATAATGGAGTGGAAAAGCCCTACCTACCAATGTCTCTTCTTTCATTTTTTAATTAAAAAAATAATGATTTTGTTCATATTTAGCAGGCCCAAATAAAAAGACAAGAATAATAATGAGTTGTCTGCTCAAATCCTCAAACGTGCAATGAGGTTTGTTTATATAATTACTACATCAAGAAAGTTCATCTTTCCGAAAGGGTGCCCTGAAAGATTAGACACAAAACAAATAATATGTAAACTTCATCCGGAGATTGTTGTTTTTACACAAGTAATATTAAGGAAAGAGATAATCGAACCTAGAACATCGGATGCATGAATAAATGCTTTTAACTATATGAGTTACAAGCCCCTTGTCATTCGAAAACATCTTGAATTCATTTCCCCCTTTCCTGATCACTGTAACTAAGACAACAACAGTAAAGTAATTAGCCATGATTGCAATGCTAACTGATATCCAGCTATTAATTAGGGTTTCTAGATGCCATTGCCAACCATCCAATTGATTAGGGGGTCCCAAATCCATTGCACGTGCACCATGCACACTCTAAAGGCCAGACAAACTGCATTGCTCCTTGCCTCCCTCTAGTTCCTTTGTGTTGCTTCTTATGAGGGTCCGTACCCCCTTTTCTTCTCCTAAAACCCACCTAAAGCCGAAAAATAAGTATCATTTTTTAGGTCTTGTTAAAATGGGTATGATTACAAAAGGCAAATAGTCACAAATTTGGTCGGCTTTCTACTCCAAACATCCATATCAAACCCCTTAAAGCAAACCCAACTTATTCAAAAATTTCAAGCTTTTGTTGTCTACATATACATAGTGTGTCTCTCATTGTTTTTCCTTTAGGGAACCTATACCAATTTTTTATACTCTTCAAGTCTTTCATTATAGTTGGTTCCACAAGCTAGTGTTTGTTTGTAGCAAGCTCAAGTAAGTAAAGATACACGGAAATTCTTCAAAGACAGAGGGTCACATGAAAGAGTTTTTGAGTTTGTTTTGTAGGGAGGGAGGGCATGATTATTTAGGTTGAGGAATGTTTGACATTTGAAAAGCAGTTCTATATTATAATTGTCTATCTTGTTAATTCACATTTTAGAAGACACTGTCATGATTAGTAAGCAAGCAAGCACCACCACCACACCTCTCTTTTTTTTTCTTTTCTCTTTTCGGGAGACTCTTTGGTTCGGTTCGTAATCGATTAGGAAACCCCCTTTTAGAAAGGGGCAAACCAAATGAACAAAACCGATTTCTTACCTTCCATGAGCATTAAGTTTATATAAATCTAGAACTTAGTGCTGTTGATATGTTACCAATTCAGAACGGTTAATTGATGGTGTGGAAGTGGTCGATCGCATACACTTAACCATGCGTGGAGAAGAGGAATTTTTCCTTAACATTTGTCATAGTCAAGCAATTGGTTCTCAGCAAAGGAAAAACTACTCCAGTGTCCAATCTAGTAAAGGGAAGCTTCTAATACAAAGAATTTTGTTTTAAAAAGGGGGTTCCAAATCCTATGTGCGGGCTTAATTAGAAGAAAACGAGCAGAATCGGAAAGACAGATGCTATCGGATTTGGTCATTAAATAATTTGCATATAAAACGTAAGACAAAGAACCTGACTGGAATGAAAGGTCCTCTATATATATATATGTAAGGTGTAAGGGGTTAGAGTCACAAGTCAAATACTTTTGTTTAGAAAAAGAGAACAAATCAAACATCATGGTTGGTTTAGCACCTATTTTATTTTCTCTCCTGCTAGGAGGGCTACCCATACTGTTGGCTTGTATTCTTGTGAAAAAGTTCTCTGCAACACATGATCATCAAAATCCTGCTAAAAACTTGCCTCCTGGAAGCATGGGGTGGCCTTGGTTTGGAGAGACCCTTGACTTCCTTAAGCCTCATTATACTTACTCTGTGGGAAGCTTCTTGCAACAGCATTGCTCTAGGTGATCATCTTCATTAATTTACAAAGTTTATTGATAATTAATTAAATTAATTTCATTCATAGTTTTTGGATATGGTGTACTTGTGATCATTTATGCAGATATGGGAAGGTTTTTAAATCGCATCTATTTGGTTCACCAACCATAGTTTCATGTGACCTCGAGCTCAACATGTTTATTCTTCAGAATGAAGAGAAGCTATTCCAAGCCAGCTACCCCAAGGCCATCCATGGCATTCTTGGAAAGCATTCGTTACTCACCATATCCGGAGAGCTTCATAGAAAGCTTAGAAGCATTGCTGTCAGCTTCATTGCCAACTCTAAGTCGGCCCCCGATTTCCTTCACTGGGTTCAGAAGCTGTCAATCTCAATGATGGATTCATGGAATGGCTGCAAACAAGTATCCTTCTACAAACAAGCTAAAGCTGTATGTACAACTCAGCCTTAATCTTCTTCTTAACCTGCTTCAAATATATTAGAAGTTTGATAATGCCTGACTGCCTGCCTGCATTTTGTGATTCAATTCAAACGCACAGTTTACACTGAGTCTTATGGTGAAGCACCTTCTAAGTGTTAAACCAGAGGAGCCAGTAGCCTCGAGGATATTGCAAGACTTCGAAACCTACATGACAGGCTTTGTTTCTCTACCAGTAAATATCCCTGGGACAGCTTATGCCAAAGCTGTGAAGGTAATTAAAGCACCTACCTACGACATAGTATGCATATATAGGGTAATCATATTCGTTTGTCGCACTAACGTTAACGCGGTCAACCGTTTAAATTCACAATCTGACAACATAAGCATTGCATGCCTCTCCTCCTCCATATAAACATTATAATGACCTTTTTTCTTCAGGCTAGAGTAAGGCTGTCTTCCACTGTCAAAGAGATTATGGAAGAAAGAAGAAAAGGGAATGTTAATAGAAACACAGAGGACTTCTTGGATGTGATATTATCAAAACAGAGCCTAAACGATGAAGAAATAGTGAGCATTGTGTTGGACATAATGTTAGGAGGCTACGAGACAACCGCTACTCTTATGTCCTTGATTGTCTACTTTCTTGCCCATGCGCCTATTGCTTTCCGCAAGTTAAAGGTAAACCAAACCCCTGTCCCCCTCAGCTTCTCTCTCTCTCTCTCTCTCTCTCTCTCTCTCTACATGCATAAGTCAGTGTATATGGCTGATATATACACACGTATCTTGTCCAAAATCTCTGCAGGAAGAACACCAGAGCATAAGGCAAAACAAAAAAGATGGGGAATTCTTGAACTGGGAAGATTACAAGAAAATGGATTTTTCCCACTATGTAATAATTTTCTTTCAAAGTTAGATGTTCTGTTCTGCTAGTTAATTATACTGTGCGTGTATATATATATATATATATATATATATTATATGGAAAATTGAAGGACTGAAAAAATCTGCAGGTTATATATGAAGCTATGAGATGTGGGAATGTAGTCAAATTTGTGCACAGAAAAGCTCTTGTCGACGTGAAATTTAAAGGTTAATTATTTTGTCTTTCTATTGCTTAATTAATTAAATGACATAATGATCAAGATGTTTATTAACTATTGGATTATTGTTGGTGCAGAGTTTGTCATACCATCAGGATGGAAGGTTCTTCCAATCTTTTCTGGGGCGCATTTGGATCAAGCTCTTCACGAAAATCCTGCGGAGTTTGATCCTTGGAGATGGGCAGTATGTAGCTTCTGATTTTAATTTTTTGAATATCAATGGTGACAAATGTTTGAGATTTATTTATTTAATTATTTGTTTATATATGCAGGAAGATTACAAAGAAATGAGCAAAAAAGTGACAGTGTTTGGTGGTGGAGTGAGGCTCTGTCCGGGAGCAGAACTGGCTAAAGTAGTGATTGCATTCTTCCTTCATCATCTTGTCCTTAGTTATAGGTAACTTTTAATTTAATTTAATTTAATTTCCATAATCATGTTGTCTAATGTTTGATTATAATTATTAATTTCTGCTGCATGCACTTGCTGCACCAGATGGAAAACAAAACCAGATGAGTCTCCACTTGCTTACCCTTTCGTGCAATTCCGGAGAGGCTTGCAATTAGAGATTGAGCCAGCTGATGCAGCAGCTGCCTGAAACGACAAAGTAACCCCCACTTGCAAATGATCTTTCTCTTTAATGGACTCATCTGAATGTACAAGGAAAGAACAAAAAAGGTCAATGCAATAGTTGTAAAATAAATCCCACCAAACCAAAGGCAGGCAGGCAGGCACTAATAATAGCTTAAAGTCTAATACAAACAAGGTTGTGATTATGTGATTGATCTTTCTTTTTATGTAATTTCATTTCATATTATTCAAAAAGAAATCTAGTTTTGCATATATTCTCTACATTTTTTTAAATACAATTGCTAGTTTCCTTATTTACCTCAAAAGGTAAAACCGACACAAAAAAAGAAAAGAATTAAATGTCAAATGACTTACATCTAAAACCAAAAACGCATGGACTAAACCCAGTAGCAGCTAATCAATGGTGGAGCCACTCCTAAGCCTGGAGTGGCCCTGGCCCCCCATTTTTTTATCTCTCCTTTATTATATTATATATAATATATAGAATTTGTAATAAACAACTTAAAATTTAAGTTAAAGTTCCCTCTAAAACAAATTAGATATAACTAAATTAGAAATATTTAGCTCTAAACATGTAATTATTGAATACTTAGGTATTTTATATACTTGTATTTTATACTTTCAGCCCCATTAACTTTACAATTCTAGCTCTGCCCTGACAGCTAATTATTTTGGACCTAAATCTAGAAACCATTTTTACTTAAACTATAAGGAGACGGGGGTTTCTCATACATACTATTAAGGTGTTATGGAAGTTTGAACTTGAGACAATTAGTCTGCAAGTCAAAGTAATTTTCCACTTAACCTTTACATTTTATTTCTTAATTCCCATTAATCGGTGAGCATTGCGTATCATATATGCTAGTCCACATGAATAGTTATTGTTCTGTTTTTTTTTTTTTTTTTTTTTTTTTTTTTGGCCAAAACCTACCTCTAATTTATTCTTCTATTACTATAGATAGGGTAAAAAAAAATGTTGTGTTGTTTAGTCACATGGATTATGTGGTTCACATTTTTACAAGTGAATAGTGAAGTGAGTTTAAAACTCCAAAATTGAGCTTATGTAAAATGGGGAAGAATCCCGTATTCATGTGGCGAAGCCATTTTAGGCCTAGAGGGGATATGTTTCTTTCGACAATCCCTATAATATTTTAATTATTATTATTTTTAAATAAGTGATGTCCTTATAATTTTTAAATTAGTCATTTTTTTATTATAAACATAAGTGATATAGGAGAAAAAGGATTCAAACACTCCTTATGCATGGGTAAAATACTCTTAACCATTCGAATTACAAATCTCTTATTTTTTTAATTAATCATAATCGAACATTGCAAATGATTCTTAATTGTAGTAAGAGGAGTGTCCCTTACTAAATAAAATTAAGATTACAATTTTAAAACCAAAAAGTGCCATGGTATGTAGCTAATTAGAGATGGGAAAACGACATTGTATTTGTTAAGGTCGGTTTTGTGTCGTTCAATATTATGGGCTTACTGGGCTCTGTTGGGCCACATCAGGACGAAAGGCCCAAACTGCACCACGACTTGTCGGACAAGTTTTTCAGGTTCGTCTTCTCTATTCCCTTCACCTTCTCGCTTTCCTTTATTTTCGTTTCGTTTCGTTTGATAGTATCAGTCTCCCACATAAACCCTGTGGAACTCCACCACCCATCTCTTCCTTCCAATCGGATTTGCTTCTCTGCGGATCAAACTTTCGGCATCCCAACGCCTACCAGTAAGCAAAATTTCAAATTTAGCTAATTAGAGGTCTTTTCCCCATTTTTCTTTTAAATATAAATTAGAGCTATTTTAAATTTCCTGTGTTATTTAGCTTGCGTTATAGTATGAAATGAAGAAGATCTGATTCTGCGAGGTCTTCTTTAGTACTGGAATGTTGCTTGAACGGGAGGTTTCTTCAAAAAAAATTATTGTACTTGTGATTTTGCTCGCAATTTGTTTGATTAAATGCGTAAGAGTAACTATTTTGTATTAGTTTGTTTATAAATCGTATAGATGAAGTGGAATATTTTTGGTTTGATTCTTATTTTGGGTTAGCCATAGGATACGATTCTGAAAATTTTGGGTTTTGTACTCTTCTGAGTTGTTGGTCATTTTTGTGTGCTGCTCCTTTTGTTACAGAAATTTGGTTGTCAATAGTTTACAAAACGGGGTCATGGGACATCTGTCTGTACTTAATGCTTGAGATTTTGTTGAATCAGTTATGTTTTGCATTATTTTTATTGCCGTGTTCTAGAGTCCAACCATTGTATTAGATATCTTTCAGTCACTTTTTGCTGGTGTTTTCTGTCTTAATTTGCATCTTCCCTGTCTCAATATTCTTGATCTCTCCCTGTCATGGTTCCAAATTAGGTATATTAACTTAGGCAAGTAATCTGCTGGTGCTGTTTTCCCAATCCGTGTTCATACATTCTCCATAGTTTTTGTTCATTTTTCCATTGCAGTAAAGCAATTTGCATGCATTGTATTTCAGTCTCACTTTTTTCCATAAAATAGTTTTTGACTAGCTTTAGGGTTTGGAACGTTTGAACATTTCTCTATTAAACTTCTATGTGTTAAATGGTTTTGCAGGTTTAACTTCAAACTTAAAGAAAAAAAGATGTCTCAGGCGGCAATAGATGTTCCCAAGGGTGGATTTAGTTTTGATCTTTGTCGAAGAAACGACATGCTTGCAAAGAAGGGGGTTCAGCAACCATCTTATAGGAAGACGGGAACCACCATTGTCGGTTTGATTTTTCAGGTACAACTGCTTTCTAATTTTTATTAGCAATTGTTTGCCATCCAAATTTATTATATTTTTGAAAAAAATGAAAAGTTTAAGCTTTAAATTTTGTAATTTTCCTTTCTAATTCCTTCTTCAGGATGGTGTCATTCTTGGAGCTGATACCAGGGCCACTGAAGGACCCATTGTTTGTGATAAGAATTGTGAAAAGATCCATTATATGGCACCCAATATTTATTGCTGTGGAGCTGGAACTGCTGCTGATACGGAGGCTGTTACAGGTAAATGTTAGGATTGTTGTTAGTGTGGTAATGTTTGTATATGTCTGTTTAGTATAGCATGAAGTTCATGAACAAGCAGGTGAAGTGTGCTAAATAATTTTCGCGCCATAGACCATCATACCTAATCGATTGCTCTTGCTTTCTATGGATTTCTAGACATGGTCAGCTCACAGCTGCAACTGCATCGGTACCATACTGGTCGTGAATCACGGGTTGTTACAGCCTTGACCTTGCTCAAGAAACACCTTTTTAGGTACAGTTTTATTACTTTCCAAGACTGCTCTGCAATTATTAGCTTTGAAAGGAGGAAAGAGGTGGGGGGGCTCGGGGACGGGGTCGGGAAGGGGACTTTAAATTGCAGGAGTAAGCTATATGCATTTATACACATTTTGATTCTAAACATTTTGATTCTAACTGCCACATATATTGTCCAGTTACCAAGGTCATGTGTCGGCTGCTTTGGTGCTTGGGGGGGTTGATGTCACTGGACCCCATCTACATACTGTAAGATTTTTCTTGCTTCAGATATTTGGATGTGATATGGATTTTTTTTTTGGTGGAGATTGCATGATATGATGCCAACACCAATGCTTTATATTGCAGATATATCCCCATGGATCAACTGACACACTGCCATTTGCTACAATGGGCTCTGGTTCTCTTGCTGCGATGGCCATATTTGAGTCTAAGTACAAAGAAGGCCTCACTGTAAGTTAGCATTGTATGAATTGAAAAGCATCTCCTTTGTTGTATGGTACTATGAATCTGTGGTTACAAATAATAGACAACCCAAGTTACCGTTTGCATCTCATTAGTATTCTATGACATGATTAGTAGTAACATCCCCATGTGGATATCTGGTTCATGTATTTAGGTTTAGGGCTCTTAAATTTGGTTTTGTGACTTTGATGCAGAGGGATGAAGGCATAAAGCTCGTAACTGAAGCAATATGCTCTGGCATTTTTAATGACTTGGGAAGTGGAAGCAACGTTGATGTTTGTGTAATAACTAAGGTTTGTTGTTTGTCATTAGTATTCACCATTTTCTAGAATATATTTTCATGTTAATGCAAATTCTTTTGTAAATTTGTACTGCCTCAGGGACACAAGGAATACCTGAGGAACCACTTGTCGCCCACACCTCGTACTTATGTCAGTGCGAAAGATTATACATTCTCCAAGAAAACTGGTAGGAACACCCTTCTTTTACTTTGCTTTTGTATCATTCAACCACAAATTGCCTGATCACTCTTATGCCATACTTGTTTTGCATATCATAAACCTAGCATCATTTTATGTTGTGTCATATATGAGAGGATTCATGCCTCCATAGGCGGTGTATTGGTAAGTGTTTGTGCAGCTGCTATGTCGCATAATTTGTTCACATCCGTAGTGTCTCTTTTTTTTCTTTTTCTGTATCTTCCCTGTGGAAAGGCAAAGATTCATCCAACTCTAGGACCTAACTTAGAAAAAGAAAAGAGTGAAACTACAAATGGAGTTAGTGAAACTTTTTTCTGAACTTGTAGTGTTTTCTTTGGTTGCAGAGGTTCTCTTAACGAAGATCATTCCATTGACCGAGAAGGTGGAAGTGATAGAAGCAGGCGATGCAATGGAAGAGTGAAATCACTCAACTCCACTGGGAGGGAGCATGGGAATGTTCCATGTATTCAGTTTTCAGTGTAAAACCTCAGCGACTTGATCCCAACTTGTTATGGGTTTGCTTATGCCATATGGATTTGACATTTTTATACAGACTTTGCGCTAACTATTTTGTTTGTTGGGAATTCATTAAGAATTATTAGAGCATCTTACAGACTTTTAAGCTGGCTGATTATATTACAGATATTGTACGTTCCATGCTTTTTTTATGAGGTATTTTCTGCTTGGTAGGTTTGATTGGATAATGTTGAGGGTTAAAAGCCTACCTCGATTGATTTAAATTTGAAGAACTTTTTCTTTGGTTTGTCAATTTCAAGCAAAATTCG